AGCATATTGATACACAGTATATAATAATAATTTCATACAACAGGCTGCAATGAAAGCAGATGTTTTAGAAAGCAAGTTTAGTCAACCTTGGCCTAAATTAAGTCTTCAAACAAAACGAAGAGAATGGAAATATCTTACCAACATAATGTTATCCCAAGAAAAGAGAGAGAAAGAGAGAAAAAAAAAGTAGATGGTAATAATAACAAAGAAAAGTTGTTAGAGCAAGCAAATTTGAAATGAAAGTGGAGAGTGGGGAGAAAATAAACAACAACAATTACAGGGTCACATACAGACAATATGAATAGAAAAATCATGAATTCTAAGTAGTACAGGAGAGGCTGATAATAGATTATAGAAGTTGGCCTAGATTGTAAAGAAAACTTTAAGAGAAAGTTATTTTCTAATAAGTGATGTCTAATAAGCAGACAAGTAAATGACAAACTACATGTAATTAAAAAAATAACTAAAAGTTGTTAAAATTAATGAAATGTATTATGATAGGAGTTTAAACAATTAAGTAGAAGAGTAATAATATTCAAACTTGAAAGTTAATTTTATTCACATTTTTGAACATGACAATTAAAATTTTGTACAAGATCGTGAATAGAAAGAATTTACTCTTTAGACACTGCTCTGATCTAGTCAAAGAATAGCAAGACTAATCTAATCAGGACTTATTTTTGTAGTGCATTAATATAAGAGACTAAACTAACTGATAAAGCAAGATCTACAGGAAGGGAACAATGTTAGCATCTCACTCTTGTTTATATAATGGTTCACATGTAAAATTCATTTTTGAACACATGCTTCATATGTAAATAATAGTGTTGAAAAAATGCTTACTTTTCAATACAAAGAGACAAGAGGACAATGATCACCAGTGCTACCTTTTAGCATTTGATTTAAAAAAAAAAAAAAAAAAAATATAGAGAATGTAGATATGACATTTTGCCTACTTCCATTATGGTGAATTAGCAGAACATGTAAAGTCTTTGGTGTCTTATGAAATTGTAGTTATTCTCCTGAACACTAAATACTTTTAAATGAACATAAACCACACACAAAATGATAAAAAAAAAACTTCTTAAATACTTTCAACCATCTTGAGTCATTATCAGAGCATGTTAGTGTTTTCAGTGCCACAGAGAGAATTTTTTCTTCTATTAATTGTTCACCTAACAAAAAGCCCAAGTAGTACTCAAAATAGAAGGTTACTGTATGGGGTTGTGAGTTATGAATTTGGAGAAGTGGTAAAAAGTGTAGATTATAAGGGTATGGAGGAAAGATAACAGTTAACGCTAGACTTGAAGATTATAGTGATCAGGGAAGGCCCCAACTTGAGAGAGTGTTCTACCAAGTATCAGTTCTTGGGAAGAATCTGTCTGAATGGAATGGAGATCAATTATCTCTGTGTATGTGATATGGAAGTTCTTGACTGCGAATGTCTGAACTGGTAAAACTAAGAAATGTAACTCATCAGAACATTTGATAGAGTAGTAAGAGGTTTGCAGAGGAAAGGGGGTTGTAGAGTAGAAAATTATTCATCACCCACAAAGGCTATGTAGAGGTTTTTGAACTATCAAGTTTGAAAAGTGAGGATTGAACAGCTCCAGCTCAGATATGGCAGCAGGACACCATTTTTTTTTTTTTTTTTTACCTGATTTGGCTCTTCTAAATAAGAGCATAGCAAAGAGTTGGGTACTTTCTAGAGTAGTATAAAAAGCTGACCATTTTACTAGAATCCTTTATATATATATATATATATATATATATATATATATTTCTACTTGGGAGTCTCAATTGATGTCCAATGCAAGGAGCCTCCAGAGTACAACTATTAATAATGGTCAAAAATTCAGTGTGTGATGATGAAATGTTACTAGCTTGGTAATTTTACAAGCCAATAACACAAGATTTCAAAGATCACCCTTGCATAAAAAGAAAGCTTTGAGTTCTTGTGCATTTTGGCAGAGTGTTTCTGTAAAATAAAGATATTAAATTCTTCAGCATTCTCAAAATGCTCAGAGCTATAATCATAAAAAAGAAACAACCCCACGGGATGACATTTTAAAATATGTAAAAATATAAACAAATAATTTAAGATTTTCATCCACAGACACTGCCAAGTTTCATGAACTCTAATAAACTTAAAAATAAAGACAAATTAAAGGCCAATATATTTCTATTTCTATGTTAGAAGCAGGATTTCAAATGTTATGGTCCAATTTTTTTTTTTATGTATCCTTATATTACAAGCCAAAACATTCTTTTTTTTGAATATGCAGTCAAATAAAATGATATGTTGACCCAAAATTTCTGATAACTATAACAGGATTATTACTTATGTAATATGTTTATTATTAACCAACAAGTAAACCAATACACTTTTCTTTTTTTTTTAAATATTTAAGAGGATATTATAAAAAAAAATCTAAATACATTTCTGCTTTTGCAATAAAAAGATTTTAGATGTTTCCACTTTTCAATAAAATAAATGTGAAAGTTATTTAATCTCACTTAAAAAAACAAAAAAAAACCTATCACTACAAATAAATACGTCAAGAGAGCAGAGATTTTCTCTTCACAAAATACAAGATAAATAATATTTGTCAGATTGAGATGTTCATTTATAAGCTTGAGTGGACCTATCACACAGAATTGATTTAAGCCACATATTTACTAAATAAGACAAAATTAAGACCTTAAAACAAAAAAAGTCCAAACTGTAAATGTTTTAGAACTGAGCAAAGATTTTATATTTAAAACCAAAAGTTATTGGTTCTAGAAATGAGTCACCTTGTCCAAGATAAGGAAAATGTTTGTTTTAAACAAGAGAAATCTCAAGTTTACTATACATTCACAAGTAATATAGTAGTAATTTGTGAATCAAGACAAGTAGAATTTTAAAAAATGTGGTATATATTAGGTTCATCTAGAAAAAAAAATTAGATTCAGTGTCCTTCCACTTTGTAGATTTGTATCATTTTATTTTCTTGTCTAAAGAAACAAATCGGATAGAAATAGGAAGTAGTGATCTTGCAGTTGAGTTTAAATTCTTCCAGTTATTTTATTATGGATTGCATTACATTTGTTAAAAGGCAGTCTTAGTTTTCTTTGCTCTTGTATAGGATCAATATGAAACATTGTAAATTGCAGTCAAACATTAAAGATATTACATGTGATCTATATCAAGATGAGCATTAAATTTGAAAATGAATAAAATTGTCAGTCATTATATGAATATCATTAATTTTTAATTTATTTTTTTAGCTGAGGAATTGTTTTCATGACCTTCAGTTTTTATTTTCCCTTTGAGCTAGTTCCAACTTGAAAGCCTAGTAGCCTGTGACAATTTTTTCATTATAAACAAATTTCATATTTCACTTATTTTAAAGGCTCTACTGATTAACTTCTATCATTACCCATAGGTGGCATCCATTTTGCTATCATTGCATAGTTATTGAGAAGCTGACTGACCAATACACTTTACCATGGGATACTACTGAAGAGATTATAATAATGATACTGTCAAAGGGTCAAGGTACAAACAAGAGAATAGATTCATAAAAAAAAAGTGTGTGTATATGTATATAAACATTTAAACAAAGTGATGTTTTATTTTATTCAAAAGTAATGATGGAATCAAGTTTCTCTAGTTTTCAGGGTAAAAGAAAAATTTGGCATTTAGCAGGAGGATACTGTAGGGTATTTTTAGAGAGAGAATATAGAACATATGGAAGGATAGAAGTGATACTACTTGTAGGACTGTTAACTCCTAATTTTATCATATAATGACCAAGTTGTGCAACAGTCCCAAGTTATATATACTACTTACCAGTTTTATTTTTGACAAATTCTTTGGTTAATTATCTACACCTAAAATTAAATTATCTGCTGTTTATCTTTCATCAAACAAAAACAAGCACAAATTAACAGTTCTCCAAGACAGTGAATCAGATATGTTAAAACTAAACTTCTAATTGAAGATTTTATATTAAGAAAACTAATATAAAATGAAAATTAAATTACAGATATTACTGATACATTTAAACTACTAGAATAAAAAAAGGCCATACTTTTGACAAGTAGCATTTTTTATCAAAATAAACTACCATAGATAGTTAGATGTTAAAATACAATAATGACCAAAACCCAAATTGTGCTGACACACACCTTTCAAAATATTAAAATGATAAAATTAAAATGCTACGTCGCTAAAAAGGCCTAAAGAGAATTGTGGATAAAGTTATATTTGACAAGTATTTGAACCCAGTTAGGGCTTTGCAATAGTTATCAAGACATGACAAAGCCTCTTGCTTGTAAATTAGGTGCAGTCATTCTCAAAATCCAAATACAAACATCAGCTAATTTATAACTCATTAATACACAAAAATTTTAAACAAGAGCAATAAGTCAGCTCAGCTTCAAGCAACTGAAGATAGTGTTTCTGCTTACCAAATTTTTTAGCTATGATTTAGAACATTTTAGATTAACTGAAGACAGATTGTGAGCCAAAGGCATGTGACAAGATGAAATATACTCAACAAGAGAAAAATTAAAATCTAAGCGAGATAAAAGTGTTAGTCTGAACAGAGTTGCAATTATCTCTTAAAAAAGGAAAGATAAAAACTTCATATTCCAATTAATACATTAAATCTATGGCTATTCAGTGAATGAATTTGCCAAGATCTTTTAGGTCTAACAAGTCAAGATCAAAAAGAAAAAGATCTAAGTAAATCAAATCATGCATCTTCATGAAAATGACTGATTTGCTTTCTATGGTTTATCAACCCTTTACAGGTTATTTAAAGCCAGAAAATATTTTTAGATTGTAAGATTTTTTTTTTTTTTGAGATAATGATTTAGTGACAAGTCTTACTAATTAACCTATAGAGTATTTGCACATAAACGAATATAACGAACCCAACTGAAAATGGAACTCGGCTCTCAGATTAACAATTCTGAGCTATAATCCATTACACTACCAGCATATTCAAACTCACAGCACCTAGTATTCACAAGTGGTCACCAATCTACATACTGACCAGGCTCGATGTTGCTTAACTTCAGTGATCGTATGGGGACACATGTTCCAACATAATATGGCCGTAAGCCTTAATGAAAATAAGGCTTGATTTGCTAACTGAAGTAATCAATTGGAGAGAAAGGTACATGTCTGATTATGAAATCCAAATAAAATACAAAACCTTATGGTGAAAAGTATTCAGTTATATGTGTGTGAGTGTGTACTGACATTGAACATGATATCAGCTTTAAATGGTAAAAAGCTTCTTAAAATATATGACTTATTACATTAGGAGGGTGTGTTTGTATATGTAACAATATTATTTGGTCAGGTTTGGGAAGGGAATCATGCCAAAATCTTTTCAGCACCCCCTTATAGAATCAGCTTTAATTGGAGAATCCAGAAAGAAAAGTATGGTTTTTATACAGTGTAATTTTTAGTGCATTTGTTAAAAATTTAACTAATTTATTGTGGGGGGTTATAACCTGCAACTGGTTATCCAAACCAAGATTTTCAACAACAAGAGAATTTATTTACATGTCGACTATTGTCTCTATATTTGTTCTTGTTATCACAGTATTTTGACTGTTGCACCCTCTGGCCAGTATCAGGTGATTGTCAGAAAACTGACAGTCTGTCTTCTTTACATTAATGGCTTATCAGAAATACCTCCCTATGGAGAAATCTCTGCCAAAACAGACAGAGGAGAACATGACCAAGAACTGTCTGTACTCCATCCCTTACAGTTTTGGCAAATAATATAAAGATGAAACTAGCTGCTATCTAAAGGTAAGGCTGGAGGAACATCGAAAGCTGTAATTAGGGGTAAGAAAATGAAATCGGTAATGGCCGATCAGGTATGGAGGAAAATGGATAGTCATAGTAGTTGCAAGTTTAATCTCTGGGCCAGGCAGTATGTACTTGGACAGCAGAGCAAGAACAATCTACTGTATATTAAATAAAGGGTTCAGTTCAAACATTATTAAAACTGACAATTACCTGATGAAGGTTGGAGGACACAGCAGTAAATATCTCTTGGTCAGTAAAATTTATATATATATATATATATATATATATATATATATATATATATATATATATACACACACACACACACAAAATGACAATTGTGCATATATGTATTCTTGAAAGTATGGATATGTACCTGCACCGAACTTCAGATTATTTATATGGGTGTGTTTGTACAAACTAAATTGCATACACCTGTATGCATGTAGGTCTATGTATGTTAGAGTGTCATCCCAAACAAAGACAAAAGAAAATTCCCCCCTCCACCACATGCAAATAATCGAACACAAATAAGCATATTTCATTAAAATATTAATATCAATCCATTTAAAAAAAACAAAAAAACAAAAAAAAAAACAGTTTATCTGATGATCGCAAAAGTGTGAAACCAGGGTTATATTGTGTAAACAAGTCTACTTAAATATTTCTCTTTTCATAGAATTTAATTAAAAAGTTTATAAATTTCATTATGTGTCCAATACTACAGGAAAACTATACAGGTAACTTTCATTGTAATATCCATTGCCTTTATACATTAAAATATATTGATGTAATATTCAAAGTAATTGTTATTTAAATTTTTGCCACCAACTAAGTGGCAAAAACACCATGGAAGTTCTAGGCATCTACAGACCAGTTTTTCTGCTTACAGTTTACATATATGAAAACAGCTCATGAAAATTTATAATGAAAGTGAAATAATACTGATAGCAACTCATTTAAAACCTGAGTGAAAAATGGTTGTCATAGGAGTTATTGTGAAGAGGGATTTGCACTGAACAAAAGTGTCCTTTTGTGACCTCTTACAAACATGAATGATAAATTCTGCTTTCTAGAAAAAAATGCAACATTGGCAACAACAAAAAAATGAGCAAAGAAACTAACATGATTTATATTTTGTGAACAGAAGGACAATTAGACACCAGTTGCTTTTTCAAAGTTTAATTTCCAAAGATGAGTGACAGATAATGAACACAAGCCATTATGTTACATTCAGGGGATAAGTTTCTTTAGCATTATTATCTTACACCAAGTCAACACGAAACTGCAGTCAATTGGAGAGATCTATAACTATAGTTACAATTACAGGAAGCTGACACTTCAAGTAGATTCAAGAATCTAATGACCTCTAAAATAAGTGTCCATGTGGAAACAAAACACCTGTGCAGAGAACTGTGCCAAATATAGCAAGTTTTTTTTTTTTACCAACAAGAACAAGATAAAAAAAATAAAAAAATAAATAAAAAAAAAATGGCAAGCAATTGAGTTATAAATGTAAATATACAAAGTAAATTGCAATGCTTATGGCAACACATAATTGTTAAAAAGGATGTTAGCCTTACATTTAAATTTAGAGGAAAAACAACAGCAAGCACCAAACAAGTAAAAATAAACTATTTTCTCTTCAAAATAGAACATAATGGTTGTTGTTGCATATCTAAAAAGGTTAAATTTATATAAATTTGTCTGCCTACAAGCTTAAAATGACAAGAGACCAAAATAAAAAATAGTACTGTATGAGCAAAAAAAAAAAAAAAAAAATATATATATATATATATATATATATATATATATATATATATATAAAATACTGTGACTAGATTTTTAAAATTCAATCATTTAATAAAAATGTTTGCTTATGAAGAACATGTCTGATTAATAATTAGAAACCATTCTAGGACAAATTTGACATTTTGTAGAAACAAATCATAAATACATTATATTAGGGGAAAAAGATCTATCATTTGAAAAGCAATTCCTCTGCTCGAGACAATATTTTTATTATGCAGTAATTAGCTTGGAGACTTATAGCCATGGAGTTTTTATGGCTTTAATCCTTATCTTTGATGCACATTTGAAGCAGCTCTTTATTTGCACTTGTCAAATGTAACATCTGTGCTTTTAGTTCTGATTAATATTGAAATGGCAGCTATTGACTGACTAGAGAAACAGCCAATGGTAATACTGCAGATTGTAACCTTTCTCTAAGGAAATAAATTGAACCTTATCAGTTCATTACTAAATACAGTGAAAAAGAACAGATGTCTTAAAGCTAAAATATATAGACAAATAGCAACATTCATAAATCCATTACATATATTGTCAGGCATAATAATATTCAAATATGCGTAAACTATTTTAACCCCCAAACATTATGCATGGATGCATGTATATTGTTTATGAAATAAGCAGAAAGATCTTTGCTGCAGGATGAATTGCAGACAAAGTATAAAAAGGCAGGTGATTTTGTGACAAAGCACATACAACTTGCAAGCTGTTGAATTAAGCAAAAGCATAAAAACACAAACCAGATTATCTTGAATGCTTTTACACTGCAGTCAGAAACAAGATTCTGTGTGTGTAATAGATCAAATATTAAAAGCTTATGTACAAGATGTCTGTCATCTTAGAAGCTACCTTTTTTTTTTTTTTTAATGAAAACAAGCACACAAAATATACAGACCAACAATAGTATTATATGTACAAAGATTTATTAACCACATACAAATTTTATCAATGAAGTGAGGAATGATTTTCAGTATAAAAAGTGTAGTAAGTAGAAAAATGATTTTAAATAGTAAAATAATATTTTTTTATTCATAATAGAACACAACTTTAGCAAAATATGAAATGAAATTATAAAGTGTAAGCTGAAATAGATGGCGACATTTTATGAACTCAGCGGGAAGAAAAATGCCTGGATTGCCAATACCAATATTTAAGCAAAATATTACAACTATTTAAAAACTGCTCATGTCAAATGTGTTATATTTACCTGTATATAAAAAAAAGTAATTTAGTGTCATTTTTCATTGCTAATACAATTTAAAGATTATACAAAGATATGAAAGGCAATTCTTTATAAAAGGCTTCAATCTTTTGATAAAACTGCATTATTTTTAAATGGAATCATCTTTTACAAAGAACAAGTTTAATAAACAATACTTGCTTTACTACCCTTCAAAATAATCTTAAAAACCTAAATTCAAAGGTAATACAGAATGCCCTCCCCCAACATAAGCAACCAAATTCAGTAGAAAAGAAATCTATGATCATATCAAAAAGAAAATATGCTATTTAAACTTGTTCATACCCGAGGCGCTTAATAGACAGTGGGGACATTTTTTTTTTTTTTTGAGCAAATACACATTTGATTATCTAAATTATTTTCTGACACTTTTTACTAACTCCTTATTAAGACCCAGCCACCAGAGTATAAAAAATATTTTGTAGATGATTATATTTTTTAAATTCTCTAAAACAGATGTACTAAAACAAATCAGGTTTGACAAGTTTTCTTATAGGCAAATGTGTTCTAAATGATCTGATAAAAACATCCTTTGATTTTTGAAGCTTTGGAAAAAGACTTCTTGAAGAGCATGTGAATATTTTAAATAAAAACTTATTTTAAATAAAATTTTAAGAATGTTAATGAAATTATTTAAAGTTTTTAGTATATTTGTTATGTATAGAGATAAATGAATTTTAAAAATGAGATTTAAAAGCTACAACTAGATGCTAATTAAACTCCTAAGTAATCTTTTTCTTTAGCGTCAAAAATCAAAATTATATAAAAAAAATAAGATTTATAAATTAACAAGATACTGACTATATATTTGAAATTGCCACTGATAAGGCAATCATTCAAATTAAAAATAATCATATCTAGTTAAAGAGAAGAGTAATTAATGATTCACCTATCACATATACAGTGTGTGCCTCCAAATAATGGATAGATTTCAATATAAAGTTTTGTAGGAACATTATAAACACTCAAAAAGTGCTGATTTCAAAGTCAAATATGATGGTTAGAAAATGTAAATGAAATATATGACCTAATTTTAATTTTTTTTATTAAAATGCAGTATGACTGCCTGGTGTAGGAATTGACCTTCTCTACATATGCTGATTAGCAATTATTGGTTTCACTGGAGAATCATATTCCTGCCAAATTTACAGTTTATAAAAATTCATGCTAATCATTAAAATCAGCCAAAATATGATAATGAAAGGACATCACAAAAAGTATTCTCATGAGATAGAAAGACAAAATTTG